ACCAGCGACTTGTTGCCAAGCACATAAGCCGAGTTTACACTCACCTCACTTGTGTTTTTAGGTTTTTACATGATGTACGTCTCAGCAAAATGTCACTCTAAATGCCTATTGAACAGAACAACGTGCCACATTAGTTAGTTTTCGGTCGGGAAAGTCGACGATAGAACACGATAGCGATGTTGAATTCTCAATTCTAATAGGTCAGACGGCGTTGATTCATTTTCTATAACAGCAGTAGTGCTGGATGTCAGGCAAATCACAGGTTTATATTAATGCACTTGTTCAAATACATGATGGTTTCTATAGTAACCACTTACACTTGAATGACGGACATTCCACTTACCGTAATTTCCGGACTATAAGCCGCTACTTTTTTCACACGCTTTGAACACTGCGGCTTAAACAATGATGCAGCTAATTTATGGATTTTTACGGGCTAACAAGTTTCATGCCGCCAAAACATTTAGCTTCGTCACATCGCACAAATGAAATTACCCAACAGGTCACAGTGGACCAATGAAACTGTTCGTATTAAATCTAACGCGCTCACACTACATTCTTCAGATCAGTCGTTTTGCGCTTCATGCATACCCCCTCATCAGGGAAAACACACGAAGAAATGCCCCGTCTTGTCATGTGTTGTCGAGTCATGTGTGTTTTGGTATTGCCCGCAGCTGTTAGCAGTTTGGCTGGTGTGTATATATATCGTGAGCCATGACACACACAACACGGGTAATTAGATATAGAGTTAGAATTAGATAGCGAATATAGTTAAGAGTCTTTGTTCGTGCCATGTGTCTTAGTTCTTGTTCATGTTTCCTAGCCATGTCTAAGTTCATGTCAAGGCTAGTTAGCTTATAGCATAGCTTATAGCTTAGCCTGTAGCCTAGTAGCTTATAGCCTAGCTTATAGCCTAGTAGCTTGTAGCATAGCTTATAGCCTAGTAGCGGATAGTATAGCTTAGAGTTGTATAGACTTAGTTTAGAATATAAGTACAAAATAGAAGTTATTTATAAAATATAATATAAAGTGGTTTGTTTCATGTAAATATATATTTTTTTTTTTTTTTTTTTTTTTTTTTTTTTTTTTTTTTTTTTTTTTATTATTTATTTAGTTTGTCTGTCATAGTTAATGTTTAGGTTTGTGTGTCTTTTTTTTTTTTTTTTTTTTTTTTTTTTTTTTTTTTTTTTTTTTTCTCTTTTTTCTCTGTTTTAAATATAAGCTCTCATCCTAACTGCACTTGCATCCGTCCTGCTTCGTTTACGTCACGAATCGTGACAGTTACACCTGCGGCTTATAGAGAAGTGCGGCCTATATATGTACAAAATAGTTTTTCTTCTTAAAATTAGTGGTTGCGGCTTATATTCAGGTGCGCTCAATAGTCCAAGAATTACGGTAATGTAAGTGGATGTAAGTGACTAATAATAATAATAATAATAATAATAATAATAATAATAATAATAATAATAATATATTTTTTTAATTATTAACAAAGTAAACAGTCCAATCAGTGATTTGGTGGTAGATTTTTGGAAGGAGTCTCCAGTGTCAGTGCTTTGTAACAGTCTAACAGCACGTTTGTTTGTGTATTGCAGTTTCTCATTAGCATGACAAGCTGTGTCTTTGTCTTATTAACTTCAGGAGAGAAGGTGATGAAGGAACAACTGTTTAGAAGGAACAGCTGCTGTAAAACAAGTGATACCAGGAACTACCTGTATGTTCCACAGTATTAAACCCAACATGAGTGACAAAACAAACACATACACACTTCACATAAAGATTCTGATTGTGAATGTAATCAGAGGCAGAAGTCTTCCTGTTTTTTTTTTTTTTCAAGATTAGATCTCCAATGCTTCTCGTCCATGTTCAAGAAGCTCCGCCCCAGAATCTTAGGCAGCCCGTATAGAGTCTATAAAATAGACTGACCACCGTTCCAGACCATTTCCAAAAGACTTTTTGTCATGCTTGTTTTTTTTTTTTTTATCATATTATTTATTTATTTGTATCATTTTCTACATATCTTTCAGGTTATTTGTACAAATAAGTAATAAAAAAAAGACTGTTACACCTTTAACAGATTGGAAAAAATGTACCGAAGCGTTCGGGCCCTCACGGCCAGACTGTGTAACAGTTTCTTCCCCCAAGCCATCAGATGCCTCCATAGTCAGAGACTGGACTGACACACACACACACACTTCTCTGAACTGAACACCATCCCGCTCCCATTGCAATATTTGCACATTCCTGCATTGACTCTGTTGCATTTTTGCTGTTATTTTAATTATAAAAATATATTCATTTACAGTATTTTGTCAGACACCCTTATACAGGCTGACTTACACTTATCTCATTCATACATCTGAGCAATTTAGGATTAAGGGCCTTGCTCAAGAGCCCAACAATGGCAGCTTGGCAGTGCTGGGGTTTTGAACTCACAACCTTCTGAACAGTAACCCAACACCTTAACCACTGATCTACCACTGCCCGTATAGTGCAGTACTATACACCTTACCTACCTGCTACCGCAATAACTGCTGTGTCCATATTTGGTATAAGCTAATCTGCTGAATACTCAGTCATAGCATGTTATGTTCACATTTATACCATTTTTAAATTATATTATTACTCTTTGTCACCTATCTTTTGCACTACCTGCTATATCAGACACTTCCACATTGAAACTGTGTACTGGCCGGCGCTACACTGTCACTTAATGTGCCTGTTGTCCTGTTTTAGTAGTAGTGTACTGTCTTGTGTTGTTAGCAATTCTTTATGTAGAATGTTTGTAGATTTAGGTCACTTATTTAGGTCTGTGTCGTCTCATGTGGTTAGTGTGTTGTTTTATGTAGCACCATGGTCCTGGAGGAATGTCGTTTAGTTTCACTGTGTACTGTACCAGCGGTACAACTTGAACTTCAGATTATTAACTCCTTAAACTCTTAATCTCAGCAGTTCCAGACTGCTGTATTTACTAAATAATGCAGCACCATTGCTGAGTAATGTTCTGCAGATGAATAAGTGAATAGTAAGATTAGATTTTAAATTAGGTTTGTGTGTGTGTGTTTGTGTGTGTGTGTGTGTGTGTGTGTGCTTCTTTCTGTCTGTCTTTACTATGTTTCCTACATTATATTCATTCTTTTTCTATTTATTTTCCACTATCTCTCTGTGTGTGCGTGTGTGTGTGTGTGTCCTACAGTTATAATCTGTTTAACTCAATAAACTATCACATGGTCGTATTTATCCCTATTTGTGGCTAAACCCAGTTCTGAATATTAAATACTTTTGATGGGTTATTTATTACAGTGCCTCTGGAAACTTGCGCAATCCTTGAAAATTGTGTTAACAAATCTTCTAACTGACAGACATTCAGTCAGGTTTGTTAATGCTGATTTATTAATAACATTGTTCAAAATGATGCGGCTGTATTGGGAATTGCTATGCTAATCGTATGTTATCACTTCTTGTTATAGTTATTCCTGGAGTGTTAAGTTGCATTTAACTGAAGTTACTATGGACTAGATGCTAACTGTTTGCAGGCCTGCTGTGGAGACGATATATGGAAACCTTCAAGTAGGAAGAAATTAGCATTAGTACATGCACGTGATTTCTTTTCCCCCATTTTCTCCCCAATTGGGTCACCTGCTGATCCTATTAATGACAGCTACCTGGGGACGGTGAAGACAGCTGAGGCCATTCAACCACATCCTGCGTCACAGGGCAGCGTAACAGGCTCGGAGGAAAGCACTTCCGAATACATGAGCTCACAGATGACTTTGATTGGCTTGTGTCATTGTGATTGACTGTGGGGAGAGATTATGCCCCTCCCACCCAGAGAGCATGGCCAGTTTTGCTCCCTTGCCTACCCAACTCTGATCAGGAGTTGATCCTGCGATATCTGGACAATAGGCCGAATGCTTTTCAGCAAGTTTTTTTTTGGCAGATTTTATTAGCCAGCTAGTTAACATGGGCTAACTTGACAGGATTTCTGACAGGATTTTAAACGCTATTAACAATTTCTTACTTTTGGAACCGTGGACGTTGATTTGAAATTGGGAATGACCACTCGGTTTCAAATTGTATGTGTACTGATGGTTTGTTAGAGCTAGATTAAAATCTGTGAAGTTGTTGAATCTTAGTGGAACCGGTTAATTAAAAAAAGTGCGAGAGCTCAGAAAGTCATTTCGAACTCCTGTGCATTTTAAAAAGTGCAGTGTTATGCACTTCTGTACCTGTGTCTGAGCTTGTAGCAGTGTGTGAGTGTGTGTGTGTGTGTGTGTGTTGTGTGTAGGAGCATGCGCTTGATGTGAATTAGCCCTGCACCTAGTGAGTGGCGTCTCTCATTGCTTTGTGCAGCCAGAGGGCTCTAGCTGCTAATCCAATCGAGAAAGGTGAGCTTGTCTCTTCCTCTGACATCGCCTCTCACTCTTCCTAAATTATCCTTTCAGCAGGAAGCAAATTTGCATTGTATTACTCCTTCAGCCTGCGTCATCAAATATGCGCCTCGTCCCTATGATTGCATTTAACCGGAGGAGGCTAGAACTCTGCGCCATTCGAACACGCATATTTATGTACATCGGCTTGAGCTTTTCATTCAGTAATGTATACCGCACCCGGTGTGGACTCCACGAGAGCTTGGGCAGCGTCGTGGAGCATCTTCAGGATCTTGTAGAGTTCTATACTGTAGTTACGACCAGCATGGGGGTCTATGATATGTTTCAGACAGTATTCTGCTATGGGGTAGGGCTGCACAATATCCATCCTTCCGTGCATTTTCCATACCGCTTATCCGACACAGGGTTGCAGGGGAGCCTGGAGCCTTTCCCAGAGAACTTCGGGGGACATCCAGGACGGGGTACTAACCCATCGCAGGGTACAATTGCACACACACACTATGGACCAAAGATGCAAGTCAACCTACAATGCATGTACTGCGGAGGAAACCAGAGAACCCGGAGTAAACCCCCAAAGCACGGGGAGAACATGCAAATTCTGCACACACAGGACAGAGACAGGATTCGAACCTCCAACCCCAGATATGTGAGGCAGACGTGCGAACCAGTAAACCACCCTGCCCCACTCTGCACAATATAGAATTTGTAAATTGTTGTAGCAATATTAGGCTTTGTATCCGGATCATTTCAGAGCTTTTCTCTGGATGTTTTGGAACGTTTTTGGGCCTAATTTTTGGTCAAATTAATGCGGGCTGATATTTACATATGATCACATTACAGGTTCAAGGGTTTTATTTAATATATTGCAAAAACACATCGTAATCACAAACTGTAGCAGTATTATAGCTGCCCAATTTGTGCAGATCTTCTTCTATAGACTTTTAGAAATGCTAACTTAAAATCAGCATCTCAGCACCTCCAGGATTTTGCAATCGTATAAATTCAATCAAGCAAACTCCGGAAATATTCCGAGAAGCATGCAGTTTTTTTTTTCCCAATATTTTCTGAAGATTTGGGCCAAGACGTATCATGCGACGTCATCACGACACGCATTCAGACAAAGCCCTCTTCAATTCACATGTGTCGAACATGAGTACAGCTAAAATGTCTCGTTTACCCACAAACATCCATGCGAAAGACCAATTCAAGTAGTTTTCCATCCATCCATCCATCCATCCATCTTCTACGGGGAACCTGGAGCCTAGCCCAGGAAGCATCGGGCACGAGGCGAGGTACACCCTGGACAGGGTGCCAGTCCATTGTGTCACTCACACACCCATTCATACACTACGGACACTTTGGACATGCCAGTCAGCCTACCATGCATGTCTTTGGACTGTGGGAGGAAACCGGAGTACCTGCATGGGGAGGACATGCAAACTCTGTGCACATAGGGTGCAGGTGGGATTCAAATCCCCAAATAATAATAATAATAACCCCTAACCCCTAATAACCCCTTGGTGCTAACCCCTGATCCACCGTATGGTTCACATAGACAACATGGAACAGATGAACACAATCAGGGAAACAATCCTGAGGAGATGGGCAGAGACAAGACTAAAAACAGAAACACCAGATCTAGTTTTATGAGTCCAGACATTACAGCTCAGTTTTGTTTTTTTGTTGTTGTTTTTTTGCCCTGTATTTCCTTCTCCATTCAAAATAGTCCGAGAATGGACCTGGAATTGAACGTTCTCTGCCGTTTTTAATGAAGTTGCCATGAACGGACAGGTATAAAGGCAGCGACTGAGTGGAAACTACAGTGGACTTCCAGCTGTCTAACAAATTAAATCACGTCATTTTCAGTTACACGTGAAGCCTTTGAGTTTCTACCTCATGTCATATCAAATTGGTGACAATGCAGGATGGATGGACTGCTTCTCTTTGTATGTGTGCTTGTGTATATGTGTATACGTGAACATTTTCCTGGCGAGGAAAAGTTTGCCTGTATCCGTATAAAAAGTTTCCAAGCTTGATAATGCAGAAAAAGAGCTGTTTTTGGTGTTCATGGGGAAATTGAGGGACTGTTTTGTTGAACGTGGCTGTAAGGCATTTCTGCAGTGTTTAGTGTTAAGTGTCTGATTATTTCTCCACAGTCAGGACTGATTTGTTGAATGTTTTTGTTTATGGAAAGCTTATGTAGAAAAACAAACAAACAAAAAAACTGCACATCATTTTAGATTGGTGAATTGTCCGTAGATAAGCGCAGATATCTGGAATATATTATTAAGTCATGTACCTATCTGTCAATGCATTTGCATCTCCTAAGCTTCATCTTTATATATTTTTTTCAACTCTCTCTTTGCCTAGGACATGCACACAAACACAGTGTGCCCATTTATGAAGGCAGTAGAACAAACAAATCGCCTTTAAGCACAGGCGTTATTAGGATATGTAAATTTCCACCATTTGGGGAACAAGGCTCAGAATAATTCTTAAGGAGGTGCTGATAGGGACAGCGCACATAGTTAATGGCATGCTGCTGCTTTCACTGGCACTGCATCCATTACGCATCGTTATTATTGCCACATAATGGCTTATTTGTTGGCTGGGAAAAATTGCCAAGGCGTGCGGATGAAAGAGTGTGAAAGTGACAGGAAGAAAAGGCAGGAGAAGAAGAAAGGCACTCCTTGTATAAACTCGGATCATTCAGAATTGAATTACCGAAGTTATGATTAGTCCTTCACTATTTTCCCTGTTTGATTCATCTTTCCTCTAGCTATGGCGAGGTTTCATTTCGCACAGACATGTCTAACGACGCTGCCGCTCGTCTGCTTGTTTCGCTTTGCTCGAGCTCATTTGTTTTGTGTGAAAGAGAAGATCTGTCATCCGTCATCAGCAGCCCGTCTTTGATTCCACCGAGGCCTCGGATCCCCGCTGTTCCCGTCTCTCCCGCTGATTTCTGGACGTGATTCACAGTGGCCTCGATCCCGGAGCTGAAAGTAAGCTCAAGCAAGCCTTGGCTCGGACTTAACGCGCCCCTCGCTTGGCATTGTGGGTGGCCCGTTCTGCCACTGTGTCCTCGCTAATGGCATGGGGAAGAAAGCGTGAGTGGGATAAAAGGGCGAGTGGCACCTGAGCCAAACAGGGCTTTTCTCCTCTTTCCAAGTGTTCATGCAGGACTGTGTGTAAGAGTGCAGATCAGAGTTTCTTCTTACCGCACGCTCAGCTGAGAAGTGCAGCCAAGTGGCTTGTGCCAGGAGACTTCACTCAGGCCCGCACAAAAGTATGAGAGTATGTATGAGAACCAGTGACCCAGGCCAAACCTTCTCCCACATCCTTCACTGCATATTTAAACAGGACACAGCCATCTGAACTTATAATAATATACATTAGTAACAGTCGATCAAACAAGCTACAGTATGAAGTTTGCTTCCTTAATTAAATAAAATAGATATAATACAACAATAATATAATACAACAATGGGGGCACAGTGGCTTCGTGGTTAACATGTTTGCCTTGCTCCAGGGTTGGGGGCTCAAGTCCTGCCTTTGTCCTGCGTGTGCACGGAGTTTGCATTTTCTACCCGTGCTTCACGGGCTAACTTCGGGTACTCTTCGGGTGCCCTTGTTTTTAAGTAGGAAGTAACATGCATCTACACAATCAGGGGTTCTTAAACTTTTTGTAGCCAGGCGTTGTAGATTCAGTACAATTGTACTTCATGAAAACAGTTCATCAGTAATAAATATAATAACTTATATTGGTGATTTATGATATCCAGCACTTTAACTAATAATATATATATATATATAATATATATATATTTTTTTAAATCACAAACCACCTGGGAATTCTTCATGAACCCCAGTTTGAGAGCCGCATATCTATATTATGTATAATGTATATTATATAGAAGCTAATTGCTATTACATTGGAAAGCTCAAAAAAATGTCTGAATAAATATAGCCTTAATTAGGATAATAAGCAAAATGAGAAAACGGTAATTTTATTAGTTACTTTTCATTCACTAAAAGGAACAATACCCTGACTAAAGGATGTCTATGATAGGAATTTGCACGACTCATAATTATTTCATTAGTCTCAAGTTATTGGATATTGCTTTTTTAAATTCTTAGTCACATTTGGTTAATAGAGTAGTAAATTGAGTTAAATACTACCCGCAGTTTTCGTGTGTACGTGTGACTAAAACACAATAACACAACACAACACAACATACGGACAGGGCGTGTCAGTGCCCTCAGGTAGCGGGGTTGTGGACTCCAAGCTAGCGCACGTCACCTTGACTTTCTCAGCGAGTTGGCAAAACAGTTGGTCCAGAATTTACGGCTGTGTCACTACAAAGGCCAGCATGTGTTGCAGTATAATAGATTCTGAAACTATAACTCAGTTTCTGCTGAATTATATATCAGGCACTCAATTCCATTGCTTACATTATTAATAAAATGATCACAAATGATATATAGCAGGTTTCAAAAGGTGGCGTCAAGCTTTGACCCTCATCAGAAAACGGAAGCAATATATACTCCATAGGAAAGAGCATAAGCAGATTAGCTTTCTATCACACACCACAGCACGTGAGCGCCATGAGGAGAAACTTTTTCCGTCTCACGTCCTCACGCGAGGACTTGAAAGAGAGGAAGGACAGCAGGCACACGGGATGTGTGTGCGGCATGGTGCAGGCGCTTCTCAAAGCGTGCACTCGCTTGCTAGACGGGCGGGATAAATGATGTGGAAATCTAATTCACCTTGAAGTGTCCTCCTCTCTTTTCCTTTTTTTTTGTACTCCCCCGCTCTGTCGCTCTCCCTCTCTCAGCGATTTGCCTTCCTCCTGGCTTTGAACGAAGCAGAGTGAGAGGAGTTCAAAGGCAAGCGTCTCTCTGCCAGTGTGTGTGTGTGTGTGTGTGTGTGTGTGTGTGTGTGTGTGTGTGTGCACTGAATGAGGAACGATGGCGGAGGCTTAGACAAGAGGGCCGCTGCGTCAGAACTTTAATACACACTTTGCTCATCAAAGACTGACGTGGCTTAGTCAGGTTCACGTCCTTGCCGTGCATCCACACGCCCCAATTAAAACAATATGGGTTTAGGGTAGTGAAGAGATGTGCATAGATAGGAAGGCGAGTGATTTATTATAATTCTGCTGGACCTGTGCCTCTCGTGTGCTTAGCTGGACAGGTGAAAACACTCAGGAGCATCTGTGTGTTATATTTATCTCCATGCTAATTTGTTAATAATGTGTCGAAGTTGTTTCTATAGATGTGGTTAGAATCCATTAGAGGAAGTGTGCCTCAGGTTACAGAAACTCTCACTTATCTCTTTCAGTCACACACACACACACACTGTTGGTCTGTGAAATAGTGATAGTGGCCATGGTAGGCTAAACTAATCCAGATCTATACAGTTTTGTGTGTGTGTGTGTGTGTGTGTGTGTAAATTTGTGTAAAATTTTTCCCTGAGGCTAATTGGGTGTTTTGGTCAAGCTTATAGCTAGCTGTTTAGCATTGTGAAACATATGCCTAATGTATCACACAGTCACCTCAAAAATCATTTGTACATAAACAATAGTTCATTTCTAACAGATAACAATATGTGTTAAAGTGTCAGAAACCGCTTAGGCTAAGCTAGAGGTAATGCTTCCCCTACTTGTTAGCTACATTAACCTC